AAGAAATCTGCCAAATTTGAGACAGATACAAATAGTGCACAGGCATCCCTATAGAACTCAAATTGCACAATTTGCATTTATATTTAGAGCATTGTCCTATTCTGTTGTACTTTACCTTGAACATTTCTGCATTTCTTGTGTATTGAATAATATACTACCATTATTTTAACTACCAAAATTGTATGTACAAATGAAACTGCTGCCTAGAAAAACTGTATGTAAGATTATAATCAAATAATTAAAATAATTAAAAATGTCAACTGTGGGGAAATGGAGGAAATCGAGGAAGTATGAAATCTAGCATCAAATTAAGACAATTTATTCATAAATGGGTCTGTTGTCCCAGTTTAGGCTCAGGGTTTTCATTTGTCTCCATCGATACCCATCTCTACTTGGAATTATCATTTCTCCACCATCTCCATGCACGAGCTGTGGTGGTGCAGTGGTAAGGGTGCAGTACTGCGGGCTACTTCTGCTGACTGCCAGCTGACTGCAATTTGGCAGTTCAAATCTCAACAGGCTCAAGGTTGACTCAGCCTTCCAAAGTCAGTAAAATGATGACCCAGATTGTTGGGGGCAATATGCTGACTCTATAAACCACTTAAAGAGGGCTGTAAAGCACTTTAAAGCAGTATATAAGTTTAAATGCTATTGCTGTTGCTATCTGGTAAACTTCTGACCTCAATGCAATGATGATCTGCCCACTGACTGAGGACTGTCAGCTGCATGTTTTCTGGGTATATTTCTACCACCAAGGAAGTGATGATAGTCTGTAAATAACTTCTGCCTGTAAATGAAGATTGTTAGTTGCCTACTGCTACTACTGAGGGACTACTATTTTTCTGCTTACTGAAAGGGAACTTCTTTCACTCTACAATTGCTTCCTACCCCTGTATATTACATTCCATTTGATAGTCCCCATATAACTAAGCTCTGTGCATTAGGCTTAGGATTCAGCTAAGTTTCATTCTTTTGGGGTCTTGACTTAGTTTGGAGAGTCCCAAATCTTGTGCCACAGTACCCCAGAGTGTCACAGTGAACTCACAAAGGTGTCATAGGACTTTTTACTATTTAATAAATCAAACTGTTCATGAGTTGCTGCACTGACTTTGAATATATGTAATTTGGGCACCATGAAAAATGGTGACACTCAGGGTGCCATGAACTGAGAAAGTTTGGGAATGTTTGACCTAGCTGCATAAGATATTACAATATTTGGAATTTGACTCAATCATTGAAAATAAATAAAAATGAGATTGGAAGGGAAGAGGAGGGGGAAATGGGGAAAAGGATAGTGACTTAAGGCCTTCCCAATATAGGCTGATGTTAAAATTTCATCATATTGTAAAGTCACTTTGATCTCTCAGAAGTGCAGGTGAGTTAGAGGAGAAGTGGTTGAAGAAAGCAAGAATCAATGGTTGATTCAGGAGGCAAAATATGGAATAATTATTCTCATTCCGAATTCATTTCTCCTTTCTAAAATTTGGTATGCAACACCATAACTCATCTGTCAATCCATCCTCTCATCTATTCTTCACTTTTCTATAGCTTGCTTGTTTCTTTAAAACATCATGTTTTAACTATCTGCACAGATATTTTTTTAGCAATTGTCTGTGGTCAGCTCTTTGGGTTTTTTTTTTTCCTGTTCTTAGGTATTGTAGCTAAATGATGGTTAGCTAGCACCTTGTCACATACCTGCAAGGAAGATACAAGGGACTAAGGCAAATCAGGGTCCCTATTTGCCAAGTAATGTCAAAGCAAAGCAAGAATCAACTCTTCTCAGGCATAGATGTTTGTTCAAAGAAAAAGAAAACTATTTTCAACATCTGTATTAGCACACTTTTAATTTGGATTCATGAAGAAAAATCTTAAGGGTTTGCCTTTGAAAATTTATACCGCATGCTCACTTTATCAATCTTCACAGAATCTTTATTGAAGATCGCCCCCTAAAAATAGGGGGGGGGGGGATAATGCAATGATTTGAGGTGATTCATGATGTTTACAGAGTCTGCAAGCAGAATCAGCAGTATATCTTCACTTAAAACAAAAAGGACATTCTTTTGAGGACAATAATGTTCACATTTTGGACAGGGAGGATATATGATTTAGAGAGGAGCAAAGGAATCCATTTATGGTAAAGTGGAAAGTCCTTCCTTCAGTAGAGGTGGAGGCCTCAGACATAACCTGTCCCCCATTTTTTATGCTGCTCTTGTATCAGTCCCTAGGAAGATCAAGACCACATCATAGGTTCACCTATGAGGTCACACTTAACAACACACCTGAGAGTAATGACCCTTATTGGCTCTCTTTAGGAGCAATGACCCTTATCGGCTTTCTGCCTATTCACCTAAGAACCTATTTAGATTTGGTGAGAAATAAAATCACTCTGGAGGACATATATGGAGTCTCCTTAACCAATTTGCTCAGATTGAAAAAGCTACTTGTATAAGCAGTCCAGTTGCCATGACTCAACTTCCAGACAGTCACAGACAAGCTACTTTATTGTCTATCTGTTATTTACCCATCGATGATCTAGTAATCACAGAGCTGAACTAGGAGCAGAGGTATCCATATTCCAGTCCATCCTCATCCACAGAAGTTCATTGGGGGACTATGAGCCAGTCACTCTCTCTCACCCAACCTTTCTCACAGGATCAAAATAAAACAAGAGCATTCTGTTTACTTCAGGGCTCTTGGGATTATAGATAGCCTCTTGGCACTTTTGAATCATCAACTTTAAATGCCTTTTGGTGCAGAACCACATGGGTTTACAAAAGCCATCTATGAGTGGAACTAACTCCCTGCTTTGCCAAGTTTCATGGGAGAGACTGGATCAATCTACATTGTCACTGTTTTCTAACAAGCTCCCTTATGATGCAGGCACATAAGTGGCATCTGTTAATTCACAGTACAAGAATTATTTAAAATTCTTTATGATCGCTGGGGAATATGGAAAGGAAAACAACAGCAACAACAAAAAATCACATGTACTCAGTCTGAAGTACAGTGTCTGTAAACAGTTACCTTCATTTAAAGGAAAGAAAATTAATTTGTAAATTTAAGTAAAAAATGGTTTAGGGACACAGGTTGTTTTTACCCTGAAATGTGTTATACCTGCTGAGAAATGCTACCTTGTTCATTAGAAGCATCCACATGACAATAGCATAGGGTTATTTATAATTAGATGCCCATGTCTAAATACAATTATTAGATAAGCCATATAAACATAATTATTGTATCTTCTAAAAAGCCAGTAAGTATGGTTTCCATTGGGGAGTGATTATTAAAGTATAACTATCTCATCTTTTGTTAGTAAACATTTTAATATTACGTGTTCATGTAAAGTAAATAATTATTGTGAGGGGGCAAATCTGTTTGGTGGATTGAGCCCTTATATCTTAAAAAGTGGAGGTCAATTACAGTGATGACTCATTAAAAGGAATTAGAATACTCCTATAAAGCTGCAACAGATGGTTCTCTAATTCTTTTAATAGTCTTCTTAAGATGTTTAGGGTAACAGTCTTGCATTAATATAACAAGATTATGGTGAAACCTAAATGCTGGAAATTGCCTGCAAAGTATGTCCCTGTTGTTGTATAATTTCCAAAGATAAAGTATAAATTGGGAATATTGTTGAATTAGTCATAATACCCTTGAATACTTAATTTAATATTCATTTTTTCTCCTCCCCAAATCTTCAGGGTATATGAAGTCATAACTGTAGAAGAAAACGATTAGACAAATCAAAGAGAAAAGAAATATATATGATTTGTTCTTAAACCCAGCATGATGAATTACAATCAGCTGGAGAGTTAAAACATTTTTAATGGGAAATGTTTTATATTTACAGAAAACGTGACAAATTTCCAAATGATATATAGAGTGGAATCCTCAGTGTTCTCCAAGCTTGGTTGTTTCCTTGCAAATATTTTATTACCCAACTAGGTGATATCATTATGAGTATGAGGTTTGTCATTGTTTATTTACAATAGCTTGTCCTGCCCAATGGTGGGGGTGTGGTTTTCTTCTTAGCAGTTACTATAGCTACTATATATAAACAGGGAGCAAGCCCCACACTCACTCACACTGATGATATTATCTAGTTGGGTAATGAAACAAGCAAAAAGCCAAGCTCAGAGAGCACCAAGGACTTCCCAGTTCAGTCCTGAGCTACATATTATATACTCTCTTCTACTGGAACATATAGAGTGCCTAGGTGGTAAATGTTTCCAGATAGTTAGTTTTAGGGAACTTGTGGCTCTGTTTACTTTCTGTAATCATGCACTGATTTCTGATGTAATATATTAAGCAGCTAACAATCCAGAGTTCCTGTCCGATTCTTCCAAAAAAGAAAGCATTGGTATGTGATGCTGAAGTATTGCCCAGGTTTTAGAGTTCTCCACACAAAGATTCCTTTATTTGCCTTTATATAGATATAGGGTCAGATTAAGGCCAGTTTATGTCCCAAATATAAATGAACAATGGTGCCCTCAGTGGAAACAAAACTCTCACACCACGAGATGGAAACAAATGTGATATCTGACAACATTTTGAAATCAAATGTTTAAACTGGAATCACTCACCTTGCCAAATAATTTTTTTTTAAAAAAATAGCAGATTAAAGTTTAACACAACAGATTAGGATTCTGAAAAAGTCATATAAAATTGAGCACGTAAGTGAAAGGGTTAAGAGCATGATAACTGGGGGGTGACCTCTGGGGTGCCCCTCCCTTGCATGTTGCTCTAAGCATATGCTTATTTTGCTGAAAGATTCCCCCAGGGTTGTATAAATGCATATTTTTACCTTGTTGGTGGCAACTGAAAACCAGAGTTGGTGTCTGAAAATCAGAATGACTTCAAATTAATAACTCTTTTCTCAAGTTATAGTTTGAAAGTGCATGTCTAGAAAGAGAGTTGATGTTTGCTCCTTTTATGACCTAGTCTTCTACTTTTCACAAGTATATTCTATAATATTATTAATATTATTGCTTTACTTTCAGAATTGATCTATGCCTGGATTTTCAATGAATATCCAACTTTTGTGCACCAGGATAATCGCCGCTTTGTTTCCCAAGAGACTGGGAACTTATACATAGCTAAAGTAGAGAAATCGGATGTGGGAAATTATACGTGTGTCGTGACAAACAGAGTCACAAATACCAGAGTGCGAGGGCCTCCTACGCCTTTAATCCTGAGAAATGATGGTAAGACTTCTATTACATTCTAATAAGATTCATAAGAAATGGTAAAAGGATAAAATTCTAAAGGATAATACTAAAATTTTACATTTTGTACAGATACAATGAAAAGTAATTATTAAGAATTGACCCTGAATAAGAGTCAAATTATCATTCATTTTAAATATTTGAATAATAATATGCTTGTGATGCTTTCTTAGGTAATAAACTAAATTTAACAGGACTTCTATTAGTATAAACTAGCCACAAAATTAGCAATCTAGTCTCTAATACCTAGATCTAATTCTGTAAAAGGTCGGATGCTACCCCTTCTCTGGCTTTGTGGGCATGGCTGGAAGATTTGCAGACCAAGAAGCATGGTAGCCATTGGATGGTATCAGCCCACTAGTAAGAAGGCCACTGATATGCTGCTGCTACCACCCAGAATGTCCCACCCACTCTTCCTTCCCTCATCCTGAGAGCTTGGGTGAAAATTGTAGTTAGAAATCTGCCACCTATACCCCCATTATAAGCTCATGGGCCATAAAAATCAGGTGGCGGTCCATTGAGTTCTGTAGTAGCAGTCTAAATGAACATTAAATGAAATATGATAAGATTTGAGGCTTGAAGTAGTAATGTAATATAGTAAATTTGTATGTTAAAATTAGGCATCATAAAATAGCCCTTCTATTTATAGTCTTCATTTTCCTGTTCTACATTTCCTATAATCCATCTATTTAAATGCAATTCATCCATCAATATTCATATGTTAAGGCAGTTAATATAAAGGACCACTCTTTTGGGATGCAAAAAAGTAAATTAAAGGGCAATGAATGCAAACAAAAATAATATATGTTATACGAGTATGACAGCTGTATTTGGATCCCTTTTTGAAAAACTGACATTTGCATGGCCAGTATATTTCAATATATAAGAGGAATTCGTTTCATTATATAGAGCATATGGTTATTAAATTAGTAGATTAAGTGGCAAATTCATCCATTTTTAATGTCCTGATTACATAAATAAGAACTATATAATCTAAAATGTTGGTGCTAGACCTATTGCAACACTTAACACTCCTTATAAGCAAGATGAATAACAAAAAGACAAAATTGCTATTCTTTGAGGAAAAAAAATCAAACTTAAAGAGATACTTAGACATCTCCATGGAAATATGACTTGATATCTGGAAAGTTATTAAAACTGTTATATATTACAGCTCTTGAGTAGTTGTCCCTGTTTTCGGTATCCATTCTTGAATGACTGTGCAAGACTCTAAATACTATTTATAGTATATAAATGCATTTATTTATCTATCAATAATATTTCATATCTGCATTTCATTTTTCATTCTGCTTCCAAACCAGCTTCTCAGAGACCCTAGAAAGTATAACTTTACCTGTTTCTTTGCACTTTTTTGAAAACAATATTTATGTTTCTTTTTATTTTATGGCAGATTCAAAAATAATTTCCTTAATCCATTGGTCAAGCTATTACAATATCAGGTGGCATTTTCTCCATGGGGAACTAAAATGTATCAAAACTGGACATTGCCAGGCAATGGTAAAAGTAGACTTATTGTTTTAGACAATTCCTGGATCAATATAAGACCAGTTTGTGGCTTCTGTGCCGAGATGGTGTTTATCTAATTGCCCAAGTGCAAGATAAAGGGCCGTCTGTGTGGCATAGAATTTGTCAGAAAATAGTCTTTGCTCTGGTCTTTCCATAGTAAGAATTGTCTTCAAATTTAGGCTTGTCTTCCACAATCTTTTCTAAGTATACTTTCAGCCAGTCCTCAATTAGCCTGTAAGTGCTGGGAGTAATCGGAGTGCAGAGAAAGAGTAACAATGGCAACAGGGGAGCCATAGCTTTAAAAATGGCTTACAACTGATCACCCATTTCCTTCAATTGAAGTAGTTCCATTACTTTTCTCTGCAGAGAACAACTTGTTGGCAAAGTCCCTTTTTTATTTCCTGGGCAGCCTGAAATAGCAGACCTGTTTGGTGTCTCCTTTGTGCTAAAGAAAGAACCAAAACTTTAACTTTAGCTTTGTGACTACAGGGTCTCATCCAGATCAGGATTCTCTGGTGGTGTGAATGTAGACAGCTTAGCTATGTGTTTTGTGTATTATGTCAACTAACACCATTTATGGCATTAAACCATGCGCAGCCATTGAACAACCTGTTGACAAAAGATGAAAAGATATTGAAACTGAACAATGACAAGTTAATAGGGTGAATAAGAAAAGCAAGGTCTCAAGGCTGTACAAGAGATAAACATGTAGATGGAGTAAATTGAGTGGAAAATCCACAACAGGACAGCCTGCCTGGCTCATTTGAGAAACTGGAGTAAGCCAGCATTAGGCCCTGAAATAGTGCTGCCAAACTCATGGGTAAGCAAAAACAGTCAGTGAGGAACAATGCAACCTGTGTGACTATAGCATAACACAGTATCTTTGCCAGTGAGATACTGCTCTATGAAATGTGTAAGATAAGGTATAGTTATACAGAGATACAAAAATGAAACAGTCTTAGAATGTTACACAGAAACACCATAGCAATAGTCAAGAAATCAGCATTGTTGTTATACGTTGCTATCCATAGCTTAAACACTACATAATGACAGGATAAGAGATGATCCTACCCATGAAACAGATAAAGAACAAACATTTGAGGACCAGTCACCATGAAGACAATTTCATTTCAAAACAGCTGAGCAACAGCAGGACTCCTTGTTTTTTGTTCTTCAAAAGCCATTTGATCAGTGTGAATCTCTGTGTGTGAGAGAATGAATAGGAAACGTATATAATGCTTTAAGCACCAAATTACAAAGAATTGTGAAAAGGGAACATTCTCTGAGCCAGTTATAGCCTCTGTGTGTGTGTGTGTGTGTGTGTGTGTGTGTGTGTGTGTGTGTGTGT